GGGGGAAGCCGTTTCATTCTCTCCAGTTTTTTGCTATCAGCTTCTTTTTCCTCCTCTATACGTCAGCTTCTTTTCTGTTTCTACTAAACCCTATGTATCTCCATTACTCAGACAATCCATGGGGCCTATTAAGCTTTTTTCTTCAGCTATATAGAAGAATGCAGAACAATGGAACCATTATCATGAAGTGTGAGGAGGGCATGAATGTTTAAACCTTCCTCCAGAACCTATGACTTCTCAGCTGATTAATGGAGAAGAGGAAAAGGGGTTAAATTTAGGATTTTAGAAACATAGGTAGAAAAGAACAATTACACAACTGTTAAAGCATCCTCAGCAAATGTCTATCCAGCTTCGTGAAGACAACTAGCAATGGGTAGCCCACTATCTTTCTGAATAATTTATTCCCTTGTGAGAAAACTCTTTATTATTAGGGCATTTTTCCTGACATTCAACTAGAATTTGCCTGTCATTTACTGTAAATTCATTTTTCTGTGTCTGGCCCACTGGGATGATAAGGAAAGAGGTTCTGGACCTCTGCATGACCATCCTCAGATATTTGAAGAGTGATAATATATACCGTCTTGGTCCTCTTTCCTCAACACTATGCATAGCCAATTACCTTGAAGTGGAATTGTTGTCTCCCATTTTTTTGAAAGTATACTTCCAGCCTAAAACTATCTGCCCGTTTTACAGCCACATCTCACTGGATTAAATATGAGCCTCTTATGCTGCAGGTGGGCATCCTATGTTCCATATTAATTGCTTCAGAATCTGACTTGGGCTCTTCCCTCCAGCATACCAAGACCAGTTACTGACATTTCACAGCCACACAGTCAAATCTCAGTAATACCTTTTTCCTCTTGCTCCTCCTCCTCTGAATAGGTAAGGATAGGAACATAAATGGGAAGCCTCTCAAATAACTTCTGCCACATCCTTAACCCTCTCAAATCATAAACTGTCCCAAATAGCTGTTCTTACAGGTTTGAGGGAACTAAAATTGCAATTTGTCTCACAGAAGTATTTTGTTCATATTGTTTCCTTTAAACTTCTTACCTTTCCTATCTTTTCAGCCCCCAAAACTGACTGAAAAGCTTTGTTCCAGCCCCTTCACTGTCTTCATATGCCCTGATGGTTTCTGTCACCCCCCCCCCCCCGCCCAGAAAGTTAAGAGGCGGAGTTGCAAACCATGATCTTTAAACATTACTCACTTCTGCTTTACATACATGCTATAGCTGAGTCAAGTGCATTTTCCCTTTTTTCCCCCAAGTGAAGAACCTTCTATGTGTCTCAATTAAATGTCTTTCTACTATTTTCAATTCATTTCCCTCTCAGGGCAATTTATGTGTTCTAGGATATTAGATTTCTCACTTAGTTTTGTATTATATAATAAAGATTTCATCTATTTCATTACCCAAGTCATTAATAAAAAATATTGAAGAAAAATGAGATCAGAATCCTGTGACACCCCACTAGATGCCTCAATCTAGCTGGACAAACAATCTTTAACAACACTATTTTTGTGGAGTCCTTGGTGTTCTCTGAGCTTGGTTGTTTCCTTGTGGAGGTAACTTCATCAGCAGAGGTAACATCATCAGTGGTGGTGAGTGTGGGGTTTGCTCCTGTTTATATACAGTAGCTTGCCCTGCCAGTGTTGGTGGGACTGTGGTTTTCTCCTTGGTAGTTCCTTGATTATGGTATTGTTTTCTACTTGATTGTTTATCTGGTGTTAATCCCTGCTTATCTGGGTGTTGGCTGCTGGAGAGGATATGTTCTGATCTTTTTATTTCCTTCTTAGCTTTTTTATTGTCTCTTTTCAATGGTGTGTAAATATGGTTTATTTCTATGTGTCTACAGTCCCTGACCACTCAACCCACTACAGCACAACCAACACAAGCCATGAAAAGGATAACACTACCGTACATCAAAAACATCTCAAAAACAACCAACAGACCATTACAACCACATGGCATAGTACACAAAACAACTAAAGCCCTCCAAAACATCTTAAGTAAACCAAAAGACCCAGTAGCCCAAGAAGAAAAAAACAGGACTCATCTATAACATGCAATGTAAAAACTGTAATAGCCACTATGTAGGATAGACAGGCAGACTAGCAGAGTGCATCCATGAATACCAACTAGCAGTCAGAAGACATGATGAAAACTCCTTAATCATGGACAGACTCAACCATAGTTTCAACTGGGAAACTGTCAGCATCTTAGACCAAACTAAATCCAAAAATGTTAGAGAATTCCTGGAAGCTTGGCATTCAGACAAATCAGCCATCAACAGATACATAGAGATAAACCACATTTACACACCATTCAAAAGAGACAATAAAAAAGCTAAGAAGGAAACAAAAAGACCAGAACATATCCTTTCCAACAACCAACACCCAGATAAGCAGGGATTAACACCAGAAAAACAAGCAGAAAATGATGCCCTAATCAAGGAACTACCAAGGAGAAAACCACACTCTACCAACACTAGCAGGGCAAGCTACTGTATATAAACAGGGAGCACACCCCATTCTCATCAGCACTGATGATGTTGCCTAGTTGGGTAATGAGATGTCTGCAAACAAACAACCAAGCTCAGAGAGCACCAAGGATTATACAGTTCAACCTTGAACTACACATATTTTCTTCTATTGGGACACTATTTTTAAAAAATATAGCATGTTCTTCTGGACTTCCTGTCAATTACTGCACTATCTATGAATGAGACCATCAGCTGAGGTATATGCTTGCAACTTATAGAAAAGACAATATGTAGTACCTGAATGCTTTCCTCCCCATTCCGCAAACCAGTGCAAAGTGCAATCACATATCCAAGGGTTTCCATGAAGATGGAGGCTCTCTAATTCAGACATATATGAGAAAATGTCTTGCGGCAGAGAAGTCAGGAAGTTGTCAGACAAGTAGATATGCTTTATGGCAGATGTTTTGAACACCTCAAGGTACCGCAAAGTGACAAAAGTATCTGGATGAAGTTGTTTAAGTAAATTTCCTTCCAAATGAACTAGCTTCAGTGAGGTGAGACCATAGAAAGCTTTTGGGTTTACAAATTCAATTTCATTGTGATCCATGTGCAAACGTACCAAAGCCATGAGACCATGAAATGTGTCTGCTTGAATAACTTTGACTTTATTATAGCTCATCTTTAAGATCTGTTGATAAAAAAAAAGAGTAAGGAAAAGAATCTGAACTGAAGTTACATGTAGTTCAAATAATTCTAAGTGATTTTCAAACCTTATATTAACATAACGACATAATATGAACTAATTCACACATTGTGCTAAACCATGTGGTTTCATTGATTTTGGCTTAGTATGTTGTATTTCCCAACATTGTGGTTATTCAACATATCATGGTTAAACCACACCTTAAACCTATGAGTGAACCTGTCACTATATTCAGTGGGGCTTATTTCCTATCAAGTGTGTTTAGGATTGCAGCTCTGAAGTGTTTAGGATTGCAGCCATTTATTCAATGAGAACAATGCTGAAAATGAAAGTTGAATAGGCTGTAATAAACGTGCATCTTACATTCCTCAGAACCATCGTTTTTTTTTTCCTTCTAAAAATAGGTTCGAGGGCAAACATTTGCCACACTGTAAACAAAATCAATGATGGACAATTTCCAGCTCATCCTTACCTTTAACAAATGTAAATCAGAGAATGTCTTGTCTTGAATTGTATGTATCTGATTACTGTGCAACATCAACAATTCCAGTTTCTCCAGGCCAGAAAAATCTGTCTCAGTCAGTTTAACCAAATTGTTGTAACTGTAACAAATATTTCATTCCATATCTGGGTTTAGTTAGTCAGCTATAGTTCAAAGGTAAAACAAACAAAAATAGAATCTCTCTTCTGAAGGTGTTTAAGCAGAGTGTAATTAAATTTTGTCATGTAAAATTGAAAATACTTTGATCAAAGGAATAACAAATGAAAATGTAAACTATGGCTCTTGCTATAAAGCACTCAAGGGTATAACCCAACCAGTGTTAAATCTATACAATTTCTCTGTTGTTTCTCTCAAAGTGTTCTGATAATAAAAACATAATGAAATATTACAGATATAGTACACTTACTAAATTACACTATAAACAGAGTATCAAGCTATCATTAACACAAAACAATTATCAATGAAGAATATAGAAGAGTTACACAAAGGTTTAGAACCTAACCTCTTAACACTCTGTAATATTCAGAATTAGGGTTTTTACAGATAGTGAAGGTTCAATCAATCAAATCTTTATTACCGTCATAGATCAGCATTATAGATTTAAAGAGATGGGTGCTGACAAATGTGAAATATAAATAAATAAATAAATAAATAAATAAATAAATATGTATGCTTCTGAAGGAAATCGCTTTGTGAGATGGGTAGCTATATAAACTGATGTATAAATAAATAAAAATATATAAAATCAAAAGATTATATATATATATATATGTGTGTGTGTGTGTGTG